CAAAAATATGTAGTTTCATGTGTCTCTAAGCTGACACAGATAAATCAGAATTAACATTTCTGCTGAGTTTGGATTTTTCGGTCTTATGAAAAATAGGGTTGTTGAACCAAATTCGAGTGAATCTGGTTTGAAAACTTTGGTTAGATTCGGTTCTACTTGAGTATGGATGCTAAAAATACGAATTACTAACAATTTCTAATATATATTACATACATTTTTTAACTAGAATTTTAATATTAGTTATTTATAAAGATTAGGTAACTCTGGTTGCTATAATTTCGGGTTCAATTTAGTTCAATTTGTTATTAAAATATGCAGATCGTTCGGTCCAAAATAAAACTCATTTAAGTTTTAGCTTGAGAAATTTTGGTTTTGTTTCCCACCCCTAAGTGTCCCGAGCTACTCCAGTGGATTGGAATTGATTGGTACTCAAGCAACTTTGAGGTTGAGGTATGCAATAGAAATGGAGGCAAAAGCTTTGAGATGGATCACTTAAAAAGCAGAAACTTTGCATACCGAAAGGTTATCTTTGAGACTAACTCTAAAGAACTTATCAATGGACTCACGGGAGATGATCCTTTGGCGATAATTTTACCCTTGTGTGTTAATGCTTAAAACCTTTTACCTCAACTCCACGAGTTCAAGTGTTGTTCTTATTAGGCATGTTCATTAATGATAAAGAACTGGATAGTAGCGGGTAAAATTAATAAGAGTATCAAAAATTACTATTCAAAATCGAGTTGAATCCTTAAAAACGGGTTAAATTATTCGGATAACGGATAAAGTAATGGTAATTCGGATGGCTAAAAGTCACTATCCATGTGGATAATTCACATAATGTAATTATGATTAATATCCAAACGGATAGTTATACAAGTAACTTTGGATAATATTGGAAATTTGTAGATAGTTTTATATAACTTTATGATTTTTTGGATAATATTGAAAATTTGTAGAAAAATTATGGGTTCACCTTGTCTAAAAATTACCCCTGGTCTTTCAATTGAATGTGTATGTAATTCCAAGGAGATGGCTGATGTACGTAGAGAACATTTAGACTATTGTTGTAGTTTGGTTTTGATCATCATTTGCCTATCATCAATTTCAACTGATGTTGTGTTGAAACCTTTGAGAGGAAATATGTTCCTTAAGGATTTCAGTGAGTTCCTTGTCTTCTAATTCTAATTTGGATTTAATGTGCTTAGACAGTACAAAAACAAAAACTAAAATATACACGTAGTTGTCTGCTCTCTTTTCTGTTAAATCTGAATATTGCATTTTCTTCATGGTCAGGAACCGATTACATTTCCTATTGGTCTTTTTGTTGAGATAGTCTTGAAAATGCCTCTAAAAGCTCTACGTAGGTTAATATCTCTTTCGAATCAATGGTTTACCTTAACCAAAGAGCAGCTCGTGATGGCCTATTGATGACATTTACTAAAGACAATGTGAGGTTCTTCATGTCTCCTACACAGCCAAAATTGTACGCTATTTAATCACCAACACAAGATAAACGGTCGTTGGCATCAAGGCAAAAGGGTAGAAGCATGGCAAGTGAGTCCATTGATGAGTCCTTTAGAGTATGTCTCAAAGATTCTGTCTTCCCCTTTACCCAAAGTTTCTAGTATCTTTACTGTTCAAGGCACTAAATAAAACAGAACCGACTTTCATTTTAAACCGAATGGTTCCAATATTTTAAAAACATACTAGACTTAAACCGAACCCACACTTATAGTAACAACATTGAATTGGCTGAAAACTTTATAAATCAGTATTATTAATCTTATTATATAAAACATCATGCACTAAAAAAGAAGATTTAGAAGATTCAAACAATGCATAAATTAAAGAGAAATTTCAAAAAATGCCACTTTTCAGTGGCACTTTATAAAAATGTCACATTTTTGAAATCTTTACAAAATTGCCACTTTTTCAAAATTATTTTTTCTTTATATTATTTATGTTTGAGTTAACTATGTTTAATTAGGGTTTAGTTTTGAGTGTTTAGGGAGTTTTAGGTGTCAAAAATTTTTTTAGGGTTTAGAATTTTAAGATATAGGCTTTATAAATCTATAATTAGTGGTATTTTTGTAAATGGACACCCCTAATTGGCATTTTTGCAAATGTGCACACAAAAAGTGGCATTTTTGTAATTGTCCCTAAATTAAATGCGATTATTTTAAAAATACCCTATTTTAGTTTACAAATTTAATAAATACATTTTTTTCTTTGAAAACTAACTCTTTTTATATGTAATAAGACATTTTTATCAT